TCATGGGTACAAACAAATATCATGTACAGGTTTTGGGAAAACAATGGCAACCTCAATCAGGAAACACTGAGTTCTCTATCACCACTACTGCCAAAGTGTCTTTAATCTTCATTTATCAAGAAATCAATCCAAGATGCCTGAGAAATAGGTTTAACTTTCACTTCTTCCTCCGGCAAGCAGAAAGCTAGCCTTTTGCTTTCTATCTATAGGAGTACATGGGACTTCGAAGATTATTATTACTATTGATATTCAGAACTATCATATTTGGATATATTCAAAACTATCCAAATATGGCATCAGGAAAGTTTGAAAATTTCCAAATCCAAATGCATTTATTCATATACAGTACTTAAAAGCCATATGTGAAACAATCTTTCCCATACAGAATTGCCAAATCAGTTGTTTAGACTTTAAACATTTGGCTTGTGTTACATTATTGATAGAGTGGGATGCTTGAAGGATNTATTCAATTCATATAATTATTTATATTAATACTTATATTTATAATATGAATATTTCTTATTTATTTACTTTCATTCCGCCATATCAAACCCTATGTGCTTATTAGCTGATTACTTTGCTCATTTTATAGAACATTGTCTACAAAATAGCAATGTGTTAAAGATCCTACATAACAGCTTGAATTTGTGTGTGTGTGTGTGGTGTGTGATTCATATAATTATTTATATTAATACTTATATTTATAATATGAATATTTCTTATTTATTTACTTTCATTCCGCCATATCAAACCCTATGTGCTTATTAGCTGATTACTTTGCTCATTTTATAGAACATTGTCTACAAAATAGCAATGTGTTAAAGATCCTACATAACAGCTTGAATTTGTGTGTGTGTGTGTGGTGTGTGTGTGTTTTAAATAGTTCCCGTTTAATTGTATCACAAAATGTTTTTGAACAACCTCCAGACCAATTTCATTGGAGGGTGCCATGAAGCATGGCATAAGGGATGGGGGTAATTAGTTTCTGTCTAAAACTTTCTTGGATTTATAGAATTGGATTCATGGTTCTTTGAAATCTGCCCAGTGTCTTTTTACGGTTAACTATCTCATATAATTAAGAAACTTTAAAGGGTTAAAACATTATAACTGGAAATAGATTTACTTCTAGGCTTTTTCCTGCTAAAAGTAATAGTACTTATGAATAATGTGCAAGATTACAACCATATCATTATGGTTTCCAACATTGAAAGTAAAAAGTCATAAAAACAAATGTCAATTTTACTTTCTGATAACCAGTGTGAGAAAACACATGTAGGTACACCCACATTATGATAGAATGTAAATACACTTAAGTGAATTCCTAACAGAAAAGAAGAAGTGGAAAAGCAATTAGCTAGATTAAGTTACTCAACACAGAATATTGTACCCAGCATTATGTGTGTGCTGATGAATATTTCAGGTTTACTTTAATACACACAGTGGTAAAAATATTTAAGTACACTTCAATGAGGATTTAATTTTAAAAGTATGCATTTGCGCAAACACTCATGTGTGCCTAGAAGTCTTGGGCCTGGAAGTACCAAAGACTGTAAAAGATGTTATTAAAATCCACAGCAAGTTTGTTATTGTTTAGTTGTTAAGTCGTGTATGACTCTTTGTGACCCCATGGACCAGAGCACGCCAAGCCCTCCTGTCTTCCACTGCCTCCCAGATTTTGGTTAAATTCATCTTGGTAGCTTCGATGACACTGTCCAACCATCTCGTTCTCTGTCGTCCCCTTCTCCTCTTGCCTTCACACTTTCCCAACATCAGGGTCTTTTCCAGGGAGTCTTCTCTTCTCATGAGATAGGCAAAGTATTGGAGCCTCAGCTTCAGGATCTGCCCTTCCAGTGAGCACTCAGGGTTGATTTCCTTCAAAATGGATAGGTTTGTTCTCTTTGCAATCCAGGGGATTCTCAAGTCTCCTCCAACACCACCATTCAAAAGCATCAATTCTTCGGTGGTCAGACTTCTTTATGGTACAGCTCTCATTTCCATACATGAAAAACCATAGCTTTGAGTATGCGGACCTTTGTTTCACATGATATGTTTCTGCTTTTTAACATGTTGTCTAGTTTTGTCATCGCTTTCCTCCCAAGAAGCAAGTGTCTTTGAATTTCATGGCTGCTGTCCCCATCTGCAGTGATCATGGTGCCCAAGAAACTTAAATCCATCAGTGCCTCCATATCTTCCCCTTCTATTTGCCAGGTGATGGGACCCGTGGCCATGATCTTTTTTTATATATTGAGCTTCAGACTGTGCACTCTCCTCTTTCACCCCTCATTACAAGGTTCCTTAATTCCTCCTCAGTTTCTACCATCAGAGTGGTATCATCTGCATATCTGAGGTTGTTGATATTTCTTCCGGCAGTCTTAATTCCGGTTTGGGATTCATCCAGTCCTGCCTTTCACATGATACATTCTGCATATAAGTTAAATAAGCAGGGAGACAATACAGTGGTACCTCGATTTAGGAACTAAATCCGTATTGGGACTGCATTCTTAAGTTGAAACGTTCTGAAGTCGAAGCACCATTTCCCATAGGAATGCATTGAAAACCATTTAATCCATATCTGCTGTTTTTCATTCTTAAGTCGAGGCACTGTTCTTAAGTCGAAGCATTAGTTCTCATAGGAACTAATGCAAAGCCGGTTAATCCGTATCTACCACTAGGGCAATGGTCCCCAACCATGGGCCTCCAGATGTTCTTAGACTACAACTCCCAGAAGCCTTCAGCACCACCTTGGCTGGCCAAGATTTCTGGGAGTTGAAGTCCAAGAACATCTGGACGCCCAAGGTTGGGGTCCTCTGCACTAGGGGATGAATTTTTTCTTCTTCTTTTGACCTAAAGTGAACTTAGGTCAAAAAAAGGGCAGGAAAGGGTTTTTTTTTTTGTTCTTAAGTCGAGGCTCTGTTCTCAAGTCGAAGCAACTTTTTGTGAACGGAGCCATTCTTAACTCGAATAGTTCGTATGTAGGGGCGTTCTCAAGTCGAGGTACCACTGTATACATATTTTTGTTGTTCTTAACTCGAATAGTTCGTATGTAGGGGTGTTCTCAAGTCGAGATACCACTGTATACATATTTTTGTTCTTAAGTATTTAGTTGTCATGCAAAACTGCAGAGGGCTAAGCTACAATACAGAGAACCTGGGCTGTGTGTAGAAAAATAAAATATAAGTGATAAAAAATATTTGTCCAAAGTAGCATTAAGAAATTTTGCGGAACAAAATGTTAGATTGGACAATACAGTACTTCAGGATAACCTAGTAATCTCTCAAAAGGCTGTTCCAAGTTATATGGTTTGGATGTGGTGCCCTGAACGAAATGTATTTACAAGCACAAGTTCTGTATGAGGTCATTTGTGTTGGTGATTCTTGTCTCCTTGCCATGCTACCTTCTATTGCAATCTATACCACATTGGTATTAATTGTGCGTTCACAGCCCGGGTTTCTTTACAGCATTTTCTATGAGTAAAGACTGAAAAAACTGGGCATGTTTAGCCTTGAGAAAAGAAGACTGAGAGGAGATATGATAGCACTTTTCAAATACTTGAAAGGTATTCATAAAGAGGAGGAGCAGAATCCACTCTCAATCATCCCAGAGTGCAGAGCATGTAATAATGGGCTCAAGCTATAGGAAGCCAGATTTATCAGGGAAAACGCCCGAACTGTTAGAGCAGTACAACAATGGAACCAATTACCTTGAGAGGTGGTGAGCATTCCAATGCAGGAGGCGTTCAAGAGAAAATTGGACAAGCTTCTGTCAGATCTGCTTTTATTTGGATTCCTGCATCGTGCAGGGGGTTGAATTCTATGGCCTTATAGGCTCTTTCTAACTCCATTATTCTATGATTGTAACATCATGACTTTATTTTCTTTGGCAAAATTCATTGGCCTCAGCAGTGAAGACAACAGTTGGACTGTTGTCTAATGATCTACATTAGCTACTTTCTCCACACACTGAAGGAATCTTTATGCAACAAACACTTGGAAAGTTCATTATCTGCGGAATAATGCTTATCCTGTTTCACTAAATCCTCATCTCCACCCAAACCCCACAACTACTATACACATTGAGGGCCTGACTACTTCATGAGGAAGTGGACAGTAAATCACAAGAGTTTATATTTAGACATTGAGGGCCTGACTACTTCATGAGGAAATGGACAGTAAATCACAAGAGTTTAGATATGTCTGTTAATCTTCAAGTCACCCCAATGCTTTGTTGTTGTTATTTTGCTTGGTTTTACATGTCAGTTCCTTCTCATCCTTTGCCAAGTAGGTGATGATGGGCAAAGGAACCATCACACAGATCGGGAGACAAGCCGAAGGAGACGATTCTAGACAGGGAATTAATTGTGTTGGGCTGTGGGGAAGGTGCCACTGCACGTTAAACGTCTACCAAAGTAGTTCGTTACCTGAAGCAGCACGCTTCTCAACATACATAAAGATGCTGGGAGGAAAACAAAAACCGTGTTAAAAGAAACTAAACCGAAGGTCTCTCAGTGCTTACGCAGAGGGCACCAACCAGACACCGTATCTAAAAGGCGAATGGCACCATGCCGCACGTGCAAATAAAAAAAATATGTAGGAATGCTTTTTCCCCCCCCGAAAAACCTTGTAAGAAAAAAATGAGTGCAATAATAAACGAGAGCGGGCGTCCCTCTCCGTGGTTTGGAGGACGGCAATCTCGCCAGCCAGCCAGCCACCACCTCATCCCTAGCCGCCGACTTCCTGAGCCCGGTCAACGTGACGACGCTCCCCCCCAAAAAAGCTCTTCTGAAGGCTTTCGCGAGGAACGAGCGCGAGTTTTCTTAGCACCGCCCTGCGACCGCTCTAGCCTCCTCCACTCTCTACTCCTCCGACGCCGGAAAGCGTGGGAGGCACAGGAGGACGCGCTGCCCACGCGACTCCTTGGTC